TACCACTTGAGCCACAGCTCTACTTCCGGCGTTTTTTTCTTTTTGCTTATGTGGTGCTGGGGAATAAACCCAGAGCCTCATGCATGCAAGGCAAGCGCTCTACCACTGAGCCACCTTCCCAGCCCCTAGCTCTTGTTTTTTTGAGGCCATGTCTCATGCTGGGCTCATACTTGCACTCCTCCTAGGTATGCAACACTGTGCATTTGTAGATGAGCTTCCATGGTTCCTTAACTTACCAAAAAGACAAGTAAAAGCAGCTCTCTCACATCCAACCACCTAACAGCCAAAAGGTCTCAAAAGCACAGGGAATGAGCAAAAGCCAGCATATGGAAAATACTACCAGATGGCTGTTTCAAAAGAGTACAGGAAAAACAGAGCAAGTACGTAATTTGAAAAGATAAAACAGTCATTTCAAGCAAGTGCTATGAGCAGATCAGAAGTGATGCCAAGGTTATTGTTCAGACAAGGAGCACTGGAGAAGCCTTAAAAAAATTACGGAACCTGGGTGCCAGTGGCTCACGCCTGTAATCCTAGCTACTCAGGAAGCTGAGATCTGAGGATCATAGTTCAAAGCCAACCTGGGTAGGAAAGTCTGTGAGACTCTGATCTCCAATAAACCACCAGAAAACAGAAAGTGGCACTATGGCTCAAGTGGTAGAGCGCTCGCTTTGAGCTGAAGAGCTGAGGGACAGTGCCCAGGCCCAGAGTTCAAGCCCCATGACCAAAAAAATAAAAATAAGGAAAGGGCTGGGAAGGTGGCTCAGTGGTAGAGTGCGTGCCTCACATGCATGAGGCCCTGGGTTCGATTCCTCAGCACCACATAAGCAGAAAAAAACAGAAGTGGCACTGTGGTTCAAGTGGTAGAGCTGGAGTTGAGCTGAAGAGCTGAGGGTCAGCGCCCAGGCCGAGTTCAAGCCCCATGACCGACAAAAAATAAAAAGTAAAAATAAGGAATTATCTTTTTTGTTGTTGTTGTTTGTGGGGTTTAAGAGCTGTCTGGGAGATTTTCTGCTCAGGGCTATTGCTCTACCATTTTGAGCCATAGCTCTACTTTTGGCTCTTTTTTTTTTTTTTTTTTTAAGCAGTTTATTAGAGATAAAAGAGTCTGCCACAGACTTTCCTGCCCAGGCTGGCTTCAAACCACGATCCTTAGACCTCAGTCTCTTAAGTAGCTAGGATTATAGGTATAAGCCACCAACATCTGGCTTTGTCCATAATTTTTACTATGGGACTTGAATTCAGGGCCTGATGGTTTACCACATGAGCCATGGCCCCACATCCAGCTTTCTGGTGGTTAACTGGAGATACCAGTCCCCTGGACTTTCCTGCCCATGCTGGGGTTTTTTGTTTTGGTTGGTTATGGGGCTTGAACTCTGGGCCTGGGCACTGTCCCTGTGCTCTTCAGCTCAAGGCGAGCGCTCTACCCCTTGAGCCACAGTGCCATTTCTGGTTTTCTAGTGGTTTTTATTGGAGATAAGAGTCTCACGGAGTCTCCTGCCTGGGCTGGCTTTGAACCACAATCCTCAGATCTCAGCCTCCTGAGTAGACAGGATTACAGGCATAAGCTACTGGCGCCCAGCTTCCTATGCTGGTTTTGAACTGAGATGCTCAGCTCAGCCTCCTGAGCTGATTCAGGCATGAGCCACTAGCACCCTGCAGGAATTACTATTCTTAAAGACAGAATAACGGCACTATAGATTCTATGGCCAGCTCCTCTTTCAAAGATATACAGTAAAATATGAATAGCATAACACTTCTGGGGGCTGAGACATATATAGCTCAGTCATTGGAGGTGTGATTGAAAAGGCCTAAAATAAACAAACACATAAAAACTTTTCTTAAAGTTGAAACAATATTGGGCAGGAATTGGTTAACTGATGAAGCTGGTGGTGAGTGACAAATCCAAAGCAACCATGCTTTAATCTGACAGATCATCTTTTCCTTCAAACTCAGAGGTGAAACTTAAATTCTACTTTCATTTCTTTGCCATCAGAATATGCTGAAAAACGCTTAATTTTATTACATGGCACATAGAAAGGCAAAACCTTTTTTTAAAAAGTCTTAAATCTTATTTTTTGTGATACAAAAAGGTGCTTAGCCGGGTGCTGGTGGTTCACCCCTGAAATCCTGGCTACTTGGGGCTGAGATCTGAGGTTTGTAGTTCAAAGCCAACCCAGGTAGGAAAGTCCCTGAGACTCTTATCACCAAAGAACCACCAGAAAACTAGAAGTGGCGCAGTGGCTCGAGGGGTAGAGAACACTCACCTTGAGCTGAAGAGCTGAGGGACAGCACCCAAGCCTAGAGCACCCAAGCCCAGAGTTCAAACTCTATGACCAACAACAACAACAAAAAGATGCCCAAAAAAGCAGCCTAGGGACAACGCCTAGGCCCACAGTTCAAGGCCCAGGACCAAAAAGAAGGGTGTTCAACTTGTTTTGTTATCTTGCTGCATAGTCTAGGAGGACCCCAGAACTTGGGTGGTGGGGCTTGAACTCAGGGCCTGGGCATTGTCCCTGAGTTCTTTTGCTTAAGGCTAGCGCTATACCACTTTGAGCTACAGCACCACTTCTGGGTTTTTTGAATGGTTAATAGGAGATAACATAGAATGTTTCTGCCCAAGCTGGCTTCCAACCGAGATCCTCAGATTTCAGTCTCCTAGAGTAGCTAGGATTACAGGCATGAGCCACTCGAGCCAAGCCCCGGGAACTTCTAATATGGACCAGGCTGTCTTTGAACTCATGATCTACCTAATTCAGCCTCTTAAGATCTGAGATTACAGATATGGACCACCACCCTTGGCATCAACTTGTTCTTTAAACAATCATCTCATCAAGTAAAACAAACAAACCTTGGCTTAAAATTCTTCCCCAAAGCATCCTCTTTATGAACCTAACAATGGAAAATTTTCATCTCAGCAACTTGGCCTCAGGGAGGAGACTCAAGCTCATCACTGTTGCCTAGATACTAGTGACATCTCGGAAGCTCCCACAACCCACTGCAAGGGAGACTGGCTAGGGTTCAGCAATCAGTGATTGCTCCTTTCTGGCACGTTCCAATGTTTGGAGATACAGGGTTGGTATACAGTGTTCTGGTCTGTCACCATGGAAGCTTCGAAGCACAAAGGAAGACTACAGCATCTGATAAACTGGTTTCTACGATTACATCAACTCTAGTTTCTAGTCCTTATTTCTAGCAATACTTGTAAATTCTACTCTAACAGCACAATGCAGGTAAAACAATCTGAATGCATTAACAGTACAATTGACTTTTCTGCAAAAAAAGTTGCTACACAATCAACTGTCCTACTTGTGTTAAATGTGATAAAAGTATTCATTTTGACATTTCTGACTTTGATAGTAGTTAAAAACACCACCACCTGTGGGTTTCTTTTAATACGTAACACCAAGTTACAAGATGCAATTATAACAACCCCACAAACAACTTACGTAAATAAGTATCTCAGTCCATGTAAGATATTATCCTGTTAAAGATGCAAATACAGCAAACATTTTAAATACTAGGATTGAACAAAATTACTGTAATCGAGGTCTTTCTTTAAAGTGAATTTGTGCAGCTGCTCATTTTCAATATTTTGGTTACTTTTCAAAAGTGTCAGTAGTGCATCTTAAAATTCTTCTTCAGGGTCTGGTAACGTGGCTCAGTGGTACAGTGCTTGCCTAGCATGCATAACACCCTGGTTCAGTTCCTCAGTGTCACATAAACAGAAAAGGCCTTTAAGTGGCACTGTGGCTCAAATGATAGAGTGCTAGCAATGAGCAAAAGCAGCTCAGGAACAGTGCCCAGGCCCTGAGTTCAAGCCCCAGGACTGACAAAAAACAAAACAAACAAACAAAAAAACTCTTACTCAAAATGATCCTTTTATTCATATTCTTTGTACCTTTTGCTAGTAAAACTGATTCTAAGCAGCAAGTATTTACCCTACTATTTAAGAGTACTAGATTTGACTGGATTCTACATCTGCTTTTCACCTATTTTTCTGGTAGTACAGCTTTTCGGGTTTGGGAGTTGTTTTTGTTTTGTTTTTTTCCAAAAATTATCACAGAGCAGTTACCATTCAAAGTGTCAGTTTATAAGTATAATGCATTTGTATTGATAGAGGTTATGGAAATGGGTTAAAATCCTGAAGTCATTAAGGATGCCAAAGATACACACACACACACACACACACACACACAGAGCAATCTGCAATCAAATGTGAAACAAAAACTCTACTCAAGGTGAACACATCAGTATATGGAAGGCATCTTTTTAAAAAGACGTTTCCAAAACCAGTAAGATCCGATGCGCAACCTCTCCCTACACACATACACACACACACATATGCACATACACACACTCCTATCAAATATGAGGTGATTGGGCCTCAGTGGCATTCAACAACCCAAAATGGCTGCACCAGCTATGGAGCCCCGATCCCCCACTCCCCCCCACCACACACACCCTTCCCATCACCACAAACCATACCTGAGGTGCTGACCCAAAGATGGGGGGGGAACCCTGCCCTCCCCATCCCCAATAACCTGGGAAATCATGGCTGCCAATGACCTGGGAAAGACATCTTCTTGCCCCCCCAACCCCCCTAAATGATACAGGAGATTTCTTCCAGAAAACAGAGAAAACACGGCTCTTCCCACCCCTCCCCAGCACTCAGCCCCCCCCCGCCCCATGACTGGGGATTCTGTCCCTCCCCTCAAGGGGGGGGGGATATCTTCTCTCCTCTATGATCCAAAGATAGATGATGGATAGATGGATGGATGGATGGATGGACAGACAGATATCTTCACACAGGGTCAGAGAGAATATGGTTCCATGAAGATGGAGAGACATCTCCCTCACAATGACAGCGGGAGACACCCCCCCCACCTCACCAAATGAAGAAACGCTCAGTGACAACCACGACACGTTAAAACAAAAACAAAAAGCGTCCCCTCAAGACTCCGGAGGCGACCCAGTGAGAGGCCCGGCCGAGCGGGCGTTACCTGTGCAGCCACAGCCCCGTCCCGCGGCGCTTCCGTCCTATTGTTTCTCTTCCACCAAAATGGCTGCGCCGCTCGGAGCCCCGCCCCCCCCGCGCCTCGCTCCCAGGATCCTCTCACGATTGGCTGACACCAGAAGCCGCGCACGCGGACTGGGTAACCCGAAAGGCGCTGTTGCTAAGGCGCTAGGATTCGCTGTGGTGACTTCCGGAAGGGGCGGGGGCGCAGTGGGCGTGGTCAAGACGGGGAGGAGGGGTTGGGGGGAAATGGGCGTGGTCAAGCAAGGGGCGGAGCATTGTTCTCTAACTGGAGGATTGGCCGAGGGAATCAGGTGCTTGGTTGGAGTGACAGACGGGTTACGTGGGAATGAGTCAACTGCAGGACGCGTGGGAGACAGGTAGATCATTTAATAGTCCTGGTTGGCCTGGCAATGAGGTGCTTTCCCCAGGATGCGGGAAATGGCAGGGCCAACATCCAGAAAACCAGAGGCAAACTGGGAAGTTGGGCATGCTAGCCCATGGATGGACAGGCCTGGATTGTGAACAGTTGTTAAGAGACATACACGGTGGTTTCTGCCTGTCATCCTAGCTACTCAGGAAGCTGAGATCTGAGGATCCTGGTTCGAAGCCAGCACAGGCAGAAAGGTGCATGAGATTCTATTTTATTTATTTTTTTTGGGGGGGGTCCGGTCGTGGGGCCTGAACTCTGGGCCTGAGTGCTGTCCCTCAGCTCTTCAGCTCAAGGCTAGCTCTCTACCACTTGAGCCACAGCTTCACTTCCAGCTTTTTTTCTTTTTGCATATGTGGTGCTGGGGAATCGAACCCAGGGCCTCATGCATGCAAGGCAAGAGCTCTACCACTGGGTCACCTTCCCAGCCCATGCATGAGATTCTAATCTGTAATAAACTACTAAGAAAAAAAGCCAGAGGTGGCTCTGTGGCTCAAGTGGTAGAGGTAGCCTTGAGCAAAAGAAGCTCAGGGACAGCACCCAGGCCCTGAGTTCAAGTTCCAGGACTGGTAGGGAGGAGGGGGCTGGTGACTTAAGCCTATAATCCTAGTGACTCAGGAACATGAGATCTGAGGATCCTAATTGGAAATTAGACCAAGCAAATAAGTCTGTGAGATTCTTACCTCCAATTAACCAGAAAAACAAACAAAAGATTAAAAAACTGCAAATGAGCCGGGCGCTGGTGGCTCACGCCTGTAATCCTAGCTACTCAGGAGGCTGAGATCTGAGGATCGAGGTTCAAAGCCAGCCCAGGCAGGAGAGACCGTGAGACTCCTATCTCCAATAAACCAACAGAAAACCAGAAGTGGCGCTGTAGCTCAAGTGGTAGAGCGCTCGCCGTGAGCTGAAGAGCTGAGGGACAGCGCCCAGGCCCAGAGTTCAAGCCCCACGACCAACAAAAAAAAAAACTGCAAATGGAGGTGTAGCCCAAGTAGTAGAGCACCAGGTTTGAGCCAAAAAACCAAGCAAGAGCACAAAGCACTGAGTTTGAGCCACCAATACTGGTATGTATACACACACACACACACAGCTGTAGAGAGTACACAAAAACAGTAGATGGTGGACAAAGGTGGCTCAAGTGGTAGAGCGCTAGCCTTAAGCTGAAGAGCTGAGGGACAGTGCCCAAGCCCAGAGTTCAGGCCCCAGGACCAACAACAACAACAAAAAGTTATGTAAAAAGTACTTGTGTGGGCTGGGAATGTGGCTTAATGGTAGAGTGCTTGCCTTGCTCAACTGGTAAAGCACTTTACCAGTAGCCTTGAGCAAAAGCAGCTCAAGGACAGTGTCCAGGCCCTGAGTTCAAACCCAGGTCTGGCAAAAAAAAAAAAAGTGCATGTGGAAGGGTGGACAGAGGGGTGACAGTAGAGCCTGCTGTGTGGATTCTTTTATCTTTGGGAGTTGTGGGGCTTGAACTCTGGGCCTGGGTGCTGTTCCTCAGCTCTTCAGCTCAAGGCTAGTGCTCTACCACTTGAGCCACAGTGCCACTTCCAGCCTTTTCTGCTTATCTGGTGCTGGGGAATTGAACCCAGGGTTTCATGGGTTCATGCTAGGCAAGCACTGTACCACTCAGCTACATTCCCAACCTCATCAACTCCATTCTTGCTAAGTCTAAAGTCTTCCCCGAGCCCCCACTGCCTCAGGGTTACCTATGCAACTTTCAGTGGAAAACATGGGAAGACTCACGTCTCCCTCACCCTCTTTGAACCTGGGCCATGGAGGAAGGGAGGAACTGGCTGTGGCTGCTACAAACCATTCCTTAAGATATTTTCCCAGAACCCAAAGGCAGGAAAATTACTAAGAAAAGGATCCTACAAAGACCAGAGTGGAGGTGGTTTCCAGCACGTCCTAGACACGCACACATTGTCCCCAACACGTCCAGACAGTACAAAGCCTGGAGGGGACAACTAAGAAATTCCCATTGTATTGGAAGACTGCCCAGGCTGGGTGAGCTCCACCCCTTACTCTTACTGTGTCCTTAGCTGACACTTTTTGTTTGTGAGCCTGTTCTTTGAACTTGTTCTCTCACACAAGGCTAGAAGCCCTCCCTGGGTTAGGGAATAAGAGTCTAACCCTGCTGGGGCTAAGTTAGGAAACCAGTTCTGTGTCAGAGAGTAGAGGTAGTGAGCCAGACATTCCAGTATTGGACCGAACACAGGACAAAAATGTCAGCAGTTGGACCCCAACCCCTTTCTGGGGTTGGCCCTTGATCCTGCAGAGGTGAGTGAGGGACCTTTAGGCAAAGACAGGGACTACAACAAGGTGAACACTATCTAGAAGTCTGACACTATTTTTGTTGCTGTTGTTGGTCCTGGGGCCTGAACTCTGGGCCTGGATGCTGTCCCTCAGCTCTTCAGCTCAAGGCTAGAGCTCTACCACTTGAGCCATAGTGCCACTTCTGGCTTTTTCTGTTTATGATGGGCAGGCCAGGTGCTGGTGGCTCATGTCTGGAATCCTAGCTACTCAGGAGGCTAGGTCCTGAAGATCAAGGTTCAAAACCAGCCTGGGCAGTTAAGTCTGTGAGACCCTTATCTCCAATTAACCACCAGAAAACCAGAAGTGGTGCTGTATATCAAGTGGTAGAGTGCTTGCCTTGAGCTGAAGAGCTCAGGGACAATGCCAGCTCAGGTCCAGAGTTCAAGCCCCATGACCGACAAAACAAAAACACTCGAGGATAGCATAGCTCTCAGGCCCTGAGTTCAAACCCCACAGCCAAAATCAAAACAAAAACACACCAGAGGTGCAATCTAAGGGCCAGTATGAGGGTTCCAATCTATTCTTCTCTGGCCAGCAGGAATTGTTAGCAGAATGGGGCCACCTTGAGTTTAAGGTAGTTGTCTAAGTTTCAGGGTTTGAGGGGCACAAGCTCCCATTCAACTACATCTTTGTGGGAAAAAGAGTTCAGGACTAAAGCTTCAGCCTAGGCAAGCACCAGTGGTTCACACCTACAATCCTAGCTACTCAGGAGGCTGAGATCTGAGGATTGTGGTTTGAAGTCAGCCTGACAGGAAAGCCTGTGATTTACAATTAACTAGCAAAAAAAAAACCTCAAAGTGGATCTGTGGCTTAAGAGATAAAACACAAGCTCTGAGTCAGAAAGCTCAGGGGCAGTGCTCAGGCCCTGAGTTCAAGCTCTAGGACTGTCACCAAAAAAAAAAAAGAGAAAGAAAGAAAAGTCTGTGAGACTTTTATTCTTAGTTAACAAGCAAAAACCAGATGTGGAAGTGTGACTCAAGTGATAAAAGTACCAGCCATGAGTAAAAAAACTTATGCTAGGGGCTGGGAAGGTAGCTCAGTGGTAGAGCGCTTGCCTTGCATGCCTGAGGCCCTGGGTTTGATTCCTCAGCACCACATAAGCAAAAAGAAAAAAGCCGGAAGTGGCACTGTGGCTCAAGTGGTAGAGCGCTAGCCTTGAGCTGAAGAGGTGAGGGACAGCGCCCAGGCCCAGAGTACAGGCCTCATGACCGGACCCCCCCCCAAAAAAAAGTTACACTAGACATGCCTAGAATCCTAAACTACTCAAGAGGCTGAGATCTGAGGATTGTAGATTAAAGCTAGCCAGGGCAAGACAGTCTGTAGAGACTCTTATTTCCAATTAACCACTAAAGCCCCAGAAGTGGAGCTGTGGTTTAAAACAGAGCACTAGCCTTGAGCCAAAGGAGCTCAGGGACAGTGCCCAGGCCCTGAGTTCAAGTCCCAGGACTATCCAAAAAAAAAAAAAGTTAAGCAGCTAGGGCAGCAAAACCCTGAGTTCAAGACTCAGTACCGACACACACACACACAAAAGAATAAAATACAGCTGTATTGGGCAGGATTGCCCCTTGAGACAAGGGTACTGACTGACTCAACTTTGAGCTCCTCATACTGGATTTGGTTATACACTCCTAGGACAAAAAGCCAGAAACTTTAAGGTAATCCAGATATGGCCTGACCCCTGCTGGCCAGATTGGCAAATTGCAGCGCCACTAAGGTGTTTTCTTGTTTTAGCATCTATCTGCACTTGTCCCAAAGACCTCATTCTATAGGAAGAGACTCAGCTGCAGGTACCTCCTCCAGTTGTTCCAGGTACAGTGGGCTCAGGACAGGAATGAGAGTCTGTGCTGGAGGTACTCCTTACACCAATGCCAGTGATTTATCCAGTCTGACCATTATCTGGCCGGTTTTTACTCATTCATTTCTCCTGTGTGTGTGTGTGTGTGTGTGTTTTCCAGGACTGGGCTGGAACTCAGGGCCTCTTGCTCTCACTTGGCTTTTTTTTACTCATCTATCTACCACTTGAGCCACACTTCCAGTTCTAGCCCTTTTTTGCTGGTTTTAGTTGGAAATAAGAGCCTCATAAATTTGTCTGCCTTTGGCTGGCTTCGAACTACAATCTTCACATCTCAACCTTCTGCGTGCCTAATATTACAATTGTGAATCACCAGCACCAGTACCTGTTCTCTCTTTACCTGTTTACTAGATAAAAAGAATAAACAGCCTTGGAGGAATTGGATAGAAAGGCTATTGCTGGACCCTAACAATACAGAATAGAGTGATTTTTGCACCTTGACTCAGTGCAGGTCTGCAGAGGGAGAAAG